GGCATACGGAGCTAAGGTCTGGTCACCCATCAAACCCAGGAGACATGAAGGCAATTGGGGCTGGATGTTAAGCAGATACCCTGCCCCATAGAGCTCCACCAGGCAGCCTAAGGAGCCAAACTTCCCCCTCATATGCCACTCAAGCCCTAGTAGGTTATGAGTCAGGTGGGTGATGTACGGATCCTCGGTGGGGTCAGAGACGGACGGGCTGGTGTGCTGATGGATGAGGAGGTGGTTGCGGAACAAGGACCGGGTTTGGTGGCGGACACCATCCAGCGGATGCTCCCAGTGGGAGTAGATGTGCTCCAGCAGGTGTCGCTGTAGGTCAGAGCCTCCACTCAGGGACTGCTGGAGGCTGGGAGGACACAACTGTGTCTGCCCCTGCAGGCAATCCAGGGCAGCCCCACTCCACAGAGTCAGGACCCGAGCCACCACCATGGCTGTACTCGACTCCTTTATACTATTGAAAGGAAAAAAACACAAAAGCAAAACTTAAAATAAAAGTTGTAAACTGCATCCCAGCACATTTCATCAGAATCTGGAAAAATATTCAGAATAGAAATTGGGTATCAGAGCAGAGCTACCTAACATCTAGATCCAGCAGTGTGTTTGGGACCAGCAGCAGCAGCTGTTCCCACTGTGGTCCTGGTAGGGCAGCCTTCCAGCTCAGCATAGCAAGGGCACCGTGACACAGATACAGAGAGACACCCGGTGGGCGTCCACTGCTGCACAGACCCTCACACCTCTGCTTGAGCCACTGAGGAGCCGAATCCAAATCCTGCACAGAGCTGCGCAGCAAACTGCACACCTACACACAGCATAAAAGATCCCCTTTATAGCCAGAATCTATGATTTCATTATTTAATGCAGTTCACAAAGATAAATAGACATTTTATTTTACTATAATTGCAATCTAAGTAAGTAAGTAAAGTTTATTTATTAAGCGCTTTACATAGACAGGCAGTCACAAAGCGCTGTACACAAAGATTAAAATAAACAGAACGTTAAGTAACAAAACAGACAATATACACAATATAAAAAGTTCAATGTAAATAAAATTATTTGAAGAAAAAAAAACTAAAAAGCATTGATCAACAGGAAACTTGTTTAAACAGTAAAGTTTTTAACCGCTTTTTAAAGGATTCCACAGAGTCAACCAAACGGAGCTGTGGTGGTAAACTGTTCCACAGCCTTGGTGCCACAGACTGAAAGGCTCTGTCCTCTCTCATCTTCAAACTCTGTGAGCGGAGACAGCGAGCAGCAGTGTTTTTTGTAAGAAGCTTGGATAAATAATCTGGGGCCTGGCCGTTTAGTGCTCTGTATGTTAAAACAAGAGTTTTAAAACGAATTCTAAAATCAACTGGGTAAAGAATATAAAACAGAAGTAATGGGAGCACGCTTGCTAGAACGAGATAGTAGTCTGACTAATGCGTTTTGCATAGATTGGAGGTGAGAAAGGGATGATTTGTCCAAGCTGGTAAACAGGACATTACAAGAATCTAAACGTGATGACACAAATGCATGAACAATTTTTCCTTAAATGAAAGAAACAGGAATGAGACAAAGATTTTACTGCGAGTCAAGGCCCAGAGAAGAATCAAATATTACTGCAAGATATCAAATATTTGACTTAGCAGAAGGACAGTAAGAAGCAAGAACCTGACTGATTTTGGTACTTCTTTACAGAAGGAAAAACAACAACAACAACAACACAGAAATAACTCATTAATTTCAATGAAAAAAAATCTTATAAATAATTTGACAGTATGAGACCCAGTATTGAGGGACTACAGCAGCTCAATATAATTTTTACCCGAAAAAAGGTACTTCTTAAGTTTAGATTTGTATATGAAGAAACACTACAATTGTAATTTATTAGTGTTATATGGTTCACTCACCACTGATGCAACGTCGTCTCCAGAGCCCATAACAGACCTGATCAACAACACCACAGCCATGCCAGCTGTGCTCTGGACAGACTGGATGAACTCCTCTAAAGACAGGAAGAAGAACAGAGTGGAGACAAATCAATGAAAAAAAATGTATTCCATGTTTATAAATCAATTAAGCTTTACCTGCATAGCTATACTGTGTGTGCGAGTGGAAGATGAGGCTTCAGCTTGTCCATAAACTACAGCAGTGATGATGCCTTCACTGGTGTTGTGATAACTTTGTTCACAAGAACAGAGGCTGCTTGAGCTAAATGTTAGAATCCTATGATGGTTTTTTTGCACACGTGTCCCTGAATACACACAAACATCAACAGTGTCACTTTCTCTCATTGTTCTGGATTGCACTACGAACACCCTCTCTATGTTAGTCCTTGCTGTGACTGAAATCAAGAAAAAAACAAAACAAAAACGTACTATTAAAGGTTCGCTTCAGCTTGTTTGCATCACAACTAAACTTGTTTCACGGATTGTTCGAAACAGCATTTGATTAGTTCATCAACTTGCCCAAAGTACTTTTCTGAGCCTGGATCCTGAGTTATACCAAATCTTGATAATATCACAGGGAACAGTTGCCACATTCAGGGTGGGAGAGGGGACAGGGTCACATGGACACCATAGCGTGTGTGGTCAAAGCTAGAAGGTAGAACTGGGATCTGTATCCTCCCTCCCACTGAAATCTACACCTGTGACACAAAATTAATACCTAAAATCTAAGTGAAAAAGTCTTTGATTCTGTGACTGATGAGGACAGCTGCCTGTTTTCCAGTGAGACGACGGTGGATCTGCATGTTTCCTTCCAGCTGTTTGTTCTCTGCTCGTCTTGTTAATTCCTAACTTTCTTACCATCAGTGAGGATGTGTATGTAGCAGCCCAAGAGGTCACCCAGTGTGTCCTGCAGCCTGCAGCAGTCCTGTTGGGCCTGTAAAGCCACGCTGATCGTGTCCTGAGACCTCTGGACGACCAGCATGGAGGTCTTCACTGCAGCTAGACAGGACTGCATCAGCTGAGCCTGGGCAATGTGGCGGCCTACAAGACCACTGGGAAAACAGCAGAGGGCGACAGAGGCACACAATTTGATACAATTACAAGGCTGGTAAGCTTTCCTCATGTATCAATGTTTACACAGGGGATATAAACCTACAAAATATTGAAATCAATGAGCACCAGCTGGAGTCCAATCAATGAAAGAGACTGGAAGTGTGATTTGAGGGATAAGAGCATGCCTCCATACCTGTTTTGATGAAGGTATTCACTCAGCGCCTTGTGAAGGAACTGCAAAACTACACAAGAGAAGAGGATTCAACGGGATGAGATCGAGACATTAGCTTTCCTCAAAAGTACATGAACTTAAAGCAGGTTAAAATAAGGTGGATACTAACCTTCCGGTAATAGTTTGTTAATGCAGCTCTCACCTGTAGATGTACAATTTTGCCGTGATTGGTACTTATTTATAGCACATGAACTGTTGTTTGATATTAGCAGTGATCACACAAAGAGCAACAGTAACCACTAACCGAGAGGGAAGCCATCCAGACAGGCAGTGATGGAGTCGACGATGTGGGGATACCGGTCTGAAGACGTGCTGGAAAGACAATCAGACAAGCAGCCAG